GAAAAGCTTTTAACAAATAGAACAACTCAATGCTCCGATGTGCAAGTATATTAATTAGAAATAAAATGAAGAGATTCAAGGTGTCAAATTTGAGTGGTCACCTTGTCCCAATAAATTAAAAAAAAAGTTTATATATATATATATATATGAAATAGGAAGAAGAAAACATGAGAGTGTTAATCAATCTGGGGTGTCATTTGTGGGCGCCGGAGCATTAACATCAATGTTCCTTGCCAGGGAAGGAGAAACAGCAGCCTCTTCATTATTTCGATCAATAATGAGCTCACCATTATCATTAACATCATTTGGAATAGGTCCATGACCCAGCACTCGCTCTAATAATTCTTGCTCGACATAACTTCTTATGTCAAACTCCGTTCTCACTACAGGAAAGCGATCATCACCCTGAGTCTACAATCAATCATAAATTAGTTGAAAACAAATAAAACCAAAAAAACAGAGACATATTAGATAATAAATGATAGGTAATATTTGTTCCAAATTAATAAACAAAAGACTCACACGTCTTCTTATAGTATCGAATCTGGCACCCAAATTCTCGTAAAGCTGCCATATTACCGTTTTCTCCTCATCGGTTAAAGGGTGTTGGGTGACGGTAGATCGGAGATTATACCTCCACCGTTGACGGCAACCCATTCTGGAACGTTTAAGAAGCCTCTCCGTGCCGCGCCAATCGTATTCTCCATTCGCTGCTACGTACATGCGGAGGACTTCATCCTCCTCGGGGGTCCACTGTTTCATCCGCCTTGACAGCCTTCTTCTCTCACTCATTGATCTCAGAGCATCTACATCGGAGACTGATCAAGAGAGAGAGAGAGAGAGATGTCTGATAAAAGACTAAGGAGATATAAATGCTGAATGCTGCAAAACAGAGGCAAAGGATTCGGGCATGGGGGCGGAAAGAGAGCGCACAGCACTGTAACTGTTTGGTGCGTTGTTTGTATGTTTGCGTGTAAACCATATTATTACACGTAATTGTATCTATAATGTTGTATATGGTGTTCATATGTTCTATGTATATATATATATATATATTTATTTATTGTTTATATTTAGAAATAAAATAATTAAAAATAAGAGACAGGGATTTAAAAAGTTAAAATGTAAACGTGCATCTTATATTATTAAGAACATAAGATAAGTTTTTTAATATGTGTATTGTATCATTAATAATAAATATGTTTAAATACGATAAGGAAATTAGCATAATCTTTTATCAATAAAATACTTCATTACTATGAAGTTATGACACGTACACTTGCTATTTTAATTTCTTGGAGATTTTAAAGAGGGAAATATTAATATGAAAAAACTTATTTTATATAAAAGATTAAATAATGTGGTTTTTTTTT